AATTGAGATTTGATCAGTTGCCCAAATTGCTAGTACTAAGTGACTGAATCTGACAGAATGACTCCAGAGTCAGCAGACTCTTGTGCCCATGACTTCATTGATTTAGATCATGTAAATTCCGAATTTGTGAAAATTCAGACATGAGCTGGGCTAAAGCCTTTGTGCTATAATAAATTATTGAGTAATTTAACATGTGGATATTCTTTTAATATAGAAAATAGAAATGCATAGAAAAGTATATGTATTATCTTCCAATATCAGTATTTATTTATGTGGGTAGAGTGTATGCTGTTATCAGAAATTTCTTTCCCCTGCTCAGAATACAATCTTTCTCTTCTACAATAGCCTGAATTTGTGAGGTCTTATCATATTTCTAAATTAAACTCTCTCACCATCTCAAAAATAATAGAACTCTTTCTATAGTTGTTTTTCACCTGATAGGAATTATGTTGGTATTTGAGGAAACTTAGTAATTTTTAATACAAATTTATTTTTATGCAGCACATTATATTTGAAAATCTTTTGTGTGCTTGAGGAAATCTCCAAGGATTTATTAGACTGAGATATAGAAAGTTTAACTTCCTCCTGTCCCTTCCTCTCCTTTTCTCTCTCCCTCCCTGTCTAACTCTCCCCTTTCTTCTTTCCTTTTTTCCTTCCTCTTTCCCTCCCCCACTGCCCTCCTTCCCTCCCCAGCCTCAGTTCTGATCCTTTATTAATCTCTTGTTGATTTTTAATGCATTCTTTTCAATGCTGCATCTTCATTCTTCCTGAGAGTTCTCTATATTGAAAATTACTGGCCATTTCTTGTCTTTTGAAACCCTCCCTTCCTTCAAGTTCTCAGGTGCACATAGTCCTGATTATTTTCATTCTCTGTCTTTTTTGTTGAGTTGTCCTCAATATGGCTAAATATGCCTGACAACTCACTTAAGACACTTAGGGTCTTAGAGACTTTGTTTTAATTCTTCCTGGAAATTATCATCTCTAGTCATGCAATTGTAACTCGCTTTACCAGGATGTTCCACTGCCACCTAAATGCAACATGACTGTCATGGAAATGTTCTTTCATTACACACTCTCTTTTTGGTCCCTTCACATCTAACTAGCCACAGGCTAAGTGAGTCCTTCCATCTGTCTGTTAGAGCTCCCCTTTGTATTGTGTCTTTATCGATGCCCCTCACATGCAGGTCTTCATCATGAGCCTTGACCGCTACAGTTTTCTAACTTTTCCCCTCACTTCTGTCTGTCCGCACTGAAATCTCACATTAATCTCTTAAAAACACTTCTCTGTGCCTATCAGCTACCTGTTCAAAAGCTCTTACAATTATTTATTCCCCATAGAATCAAGTCTTGACTCCTTCACCAAGTCAGACTATTTCATACTCTTTTTGTTTCCACCCTTATCTTTCCTAAAAAACCATCCTGAGCTCACTACTCTCTTCAATAGCTCTTGAAAGTGCCTCAACGTCTTAATCTTTTCTGCTATTTTATTTTTTCTTCAGTATCAGTTAAAATACTTTTTAAATCAAAGCAGATTCAACTCATAATAGATTTTTCCTTTCTTCTGACACTTCTTAGATCTTGCACTGTAATTTCTCATTACTCCAACATAACTTTTGACCATTGGTCATCCGTCCAGCAGCGTGCTAGACTCAGGGGATAGAAAGGTAGATAAAACATAGTCCTTGATGCTAAGGAGTTCACAATATTAACATCTAAAATACTGGAGGGCAGAAACTGCTATATTTTTCTTTGTATATCCAGTATTTATTAGCCTCTCCTACAGAAAACAGACACCCTATGTACTTACTGCTGTTAACAGTGAACATAAAAGACAAGGAGAGTTTCTTACATTAATAATAAGGAAGCAAGCTAGAAGCTAGCTACATATTACTCAATATATTTTACATAATTCGAGCAGAAATTCAAGTAAGAGGCTACCGTTCTTCCATTGGATTTTTAATATGGTCAAAACTCATTTAATTACAAAGTTATAAATTTCTAAGAATCCATAAGGCTATTATTATTCACATTGTTTTTCTAGGATCATACAAGAGATAAACTAACCCTTGTGATCATTTGTAGAGTTAATTTAACTTTTCATTAAGGTAGTCTGTGACATACGCATACACACTCACACCCACTTTCATAAAATACATATATATACATTACAATGATCTGGATAATTTATCATAACAATTGTACTCAAACCTCACTGGTCCAGTCAGTAGACCTGGCATAAAACCAGGAGAGGTAAGAATAAAAAAAAAGTCAATTGGCAATCCAAAAGAAAAAAAATTCATTAATATTTAAAAAAAAAATAAAACCAGGAGAGATAATAATAGTTAACTTTTATGAAATGCTTACTTAGTGTCAAAACCCTTTCCAAGTAGATGATCTTGTATTATATCTCCTTTAATTCTTAAAACTCCATCATAAATCTTAAAACACCACTAGAACCTCCACGTTATAGATGAAGAAATTGAGATACAGCAAAGTTTACCAACCTGCTACAGTGAGCAAAGGGGCTTAGATTCAGAATAAGAACCAAGAAATTTGACCCCAGAGTCTTATGGGCATAGTGACTGCTATTATTTCTCCCATAGAGATGTAAGTCAGGACTCAAAGTCCCCCACACCCTTCCAAAGTGTGAGTAAGAGAGGGGAGAGAGGGAGAAAGGGGGAGAGCGTGGGAGGGGAAAAGAAAAGATGGAACTGAATGGAAAAATAAATAAGTTGTTCAAGATAATTATAACCACCATAACACAGGGCACTGGAAATTTCAAAGGGTCGCCTCCTCTTGACTGCCACTGGGACTTTACTCTTTGTCCCGTGTCCTCTGTTCGGAAAACAGAGGAGAAAAAGTAAGAGAGGGGCTCATCATGAACACACGCAGCTGTTGCCAGGCCATTTTGTTTCCTGAAAAGTTTCTCAGGGCAGGGTGGCCTCAGAGAGGCAGGGGATGCCACTATTCAGTAACAGGGATCCCACGGTATAACTGCCACTGCTAAATGGAAGCCTGGCATGCTTTAAGACCCCCCTAATGCACTATATTATAAACTGGAGTGACAGGTGAAGGTCAGAGACAACAGAAGAGAAGAAGGTCGCTTGAGGAACTGGGCTGATGTGGGAAGACGTGACTTCTGTGGTAAAGGCAGACATCAACAAGACAAAACAAAACAAAACACATGTGGAAAAACTGGAGAGGAAGGGGCACCAGGAGACTAGGCGCCTGGACCAAATAGGAACCAGGTGCAACTTTAAAATACAGGGCTGCTTTCTGTGTTAACACTTGCAAACTCTGCCCAGACTTACGACTGGAGGGTATAATAGTCTATTACCTCTGCCCGACACCTACAGTGGAAGGTAAAAGTTAACCCCTTTTTCAGAGAGGGGGCATCTCATAATAGCAAAACAAAATGACTTTTAAAGAGAGCCATCGATCTTTCTGATTCAAGGAAAACTACACAAATTTGTTTTGAGACTATTAATATTGTTGGAAGGGAAAAAAAATTCAAGTTACTTTAAGCCCTACGACCCTATAGGGGATTGTGCAGCAAATCTTAAAAAATGCGGGTCAAAATGGCTCTGGTGTAAAGTTTTTAGCTAGACAAGATTTTAAGGATGATGTGTTTGTATGCCATGGATTTACAGAAACTGGTCCAGAAAATATTTGACAAGGACAATCAATGGAGCAAACAAAGCACCAAATCACAATATTTTCTCTGATCTTTTTTTTTTTAAAGTACAGAAAAAACTCATGTTATTGTTTGGCTACTTTTCTGTTTATTACCATTGTCTCAATACACTTTTAACTTTCATAATTAAAATGAAAATTAAGAATATTTACATTTTTGGTAACCTTAGCTTTAGATAAAAATGGAAATGTGAATATGTTAAAAAGAGCTGTACAGATTTTGTGTACTTCCCTTGAGGGAGTTTGTTTGCTTCCTAGCTCAATTTTTGACAAAGAAAAATGGGCTGCTCTTGCTTTTCACACAAAGATGCACTGTTTCCAGAGCAAATTAAAAACGGAGAATTTGTACTTAGTTTGAAGCAAAATTAACATCCAACATGATACTTTAATTAGTTTAAACTTTGTACTAACGGATAAATTGTGTGACTTATTAGAATTAAAAGTATAACTTTGCAATAAGATCTTAAAATACTGTGTGGAAGTTCTCATAGAAACATACTTTACGTCTCATTTTTAGTACCCCATAAATAATCATAGAGTTTTGCTTTTTGAAAACTAAGTTTTATCTGCACTGTTGTGCAGTACTCTAAAGTTTCCAAAAGAAGTGAGGCAAAGTATTTGTGAGGTTGAGCTGCCTCTGTTCCTTCCACAGGGCTGCCATCTGGGCTTGTTTATTTGTGTTTCCAACTTTCTGAAACAGGGAGTTTTTCTGTTAGGGACAGGGCACCAAGCAAAATAGTGTCTTCCAGAAGACGACACCCCTTCCCCACACCCCCGTGCTCCCCCTTTTCTTTTTACCACATTTTCAAACTTCAAGTTTAGTTTGGTCAAAAATATCAAATGAGCAAAACAATCACAATATTTAACATAGTTGAAAATCTTAGAACTGTGTTAACAAATATTCTTCCACATGATGCAAGTAATATTTCCTATATGCTCTGTCCTTGTGCCATTCAGATCTTTTTTTCAAAAAGACAGTTAATGACAAACTGTCATTAACACTACGGCTAGTTGGCTTGGAAATCAAACATGTATCTTCTACAAATAAGCATTTGATTTAAAAATGAAAGAAATATTTTTAAGCAGTGTACTAATTTTATAAACTATATATCAGCCATGTTATAAAAAATGAAGCAATGAAGTAAACAAACTATTTCAAAATATAATTAACAAATCATTAATTTAGGTTGATTATACAACCTGATTATGATGAACAGCTTAAACATCCACAAGCCAACACTTAAAAAAAAAAAAAACTAGTCCCTTATCTATGAAACATTTACCAAATAAAATAGAAGAAAAAGTACCTTGTAAAGTAAAATCCAGCAATACATATTCGTAAGCAAATTCTGTTTTTGTTTCCACTTGTGGTCTCTTCAGAGTAGAAAATATTTTTCCAGGACTGCTATCATCAGGGTCTTCTAGCTTTCTAAGTCCGCACCCCATGGCAAAATCTGTAAGGAATTAAATTGCAGGATAGGGGAGGGAGAGCAGCAAGTTCTGTTGTTTAAGCTGCAAAAAGAAAGTTACAGACTTAACTGCTTTGATTTTTTTTCAGTTAAACCATAGATGCCCAAAAAGAAAACATTTGAGTCCAAAGAAAGGAGCTGAAAATCTTTTCTATCCATTTTTTTGCAAAGTAGTTGAACCCATGATTCTTAAGCTACAGCTCCGGGAGACTGGGCTTGATCTTAGAGAAACATGCAAGCTGCTACAACTTAGCGGAGAATTTCCATGCCACGTCAATTTACAGCCAGCCCCCAACCAGAGTTCTGTCGCTCAGGGCACCAGCAGTGCTTTGTCTATTCCAGTTGGCTGGATGATAAAAGAGGTGTCCAAAAACGGAAATAAAAAGGCAAAAGTGCAACTCAGATGGAATTATCTACAAATAGAGGTTATATTCAGCTATAATAGCATACAGTTCTTTTTCTGTTTTCTCTTTTCCCTCTTTCCAGTGCCCACCCCCTCCTTCCTCCCTGTTACTACCAAGAAACCAGAGAGAGAGAGAGAGAGAGAGAGAGAGAGAGAGAGAGAGAGAGAGAGAGAAATGAATTCTCAACATGGTTGGAAACAAAAATCATTTCCAGAAAGGAAGTCAGCTTTTTGAGGAAACTACTTCTGGAATCTAAAAAGAGAAAAGTAAAGTTAAAAAAACAAAACAAAACCCAAACACTTTATTCTTTAGATAGCATTTTTGAGGATTTCTTTCCACATGAAAGTTCTTTTTGCTGGAAAAAATTGTATGCTAATTAAAACTCCCAAATATTAAAAAAAATAAAATATTTAAATAAAAAGATTTTAATTGCAAAGGATAAACAGTTTTGGGATAGTTTCCTCAACATCCTTAATGTTTAAAATACTATTAGATGGTTTACTATAGTACCTAATAACACTTCTACAGCTCTCAAAGTGTCCTTAATAAAAACAAACAAGCTGACAACTTGATTCAGTTTAATAAATTGCTATTTACCTGAAGTAAAGAACAATTTAAAATAGACCCATTGTAATGAGTGTTTATTGCATTTTACCATTTACAAGTCACGTGCTCTCATCTAAACTAGAAACTTGGAACCAGACTGCAGCGTTCAAATTCTGCTTCTAATGCCTCCTAGAGACGCAATCTTGGCAAGTTATTTGACCTCTTCAAGTTTCAATTTCCTCCCTTATAAGATGGAGTTAATAATAGTACTTACTTCGTAGGCTTGTTATGGAGGTTAAATGAGATAATCTTATCATATCATAACACTATGTTTAGTTAACACAAAATAAATTTGTTAATATGCTTACATTATAAAACAGAATTGAGAGTTGTAATAGAAAGGAAGTAGTTCTGCCACTACGTAAATCTGATCACATTTCAGATTCTAGAGAACTTAAGCCTGAGAAGATATTTTTTCATCATTTTCAATAGCACATATGAAAATTCTCAAAGGGGAGATGGATTATTTAGTTTGGAGATCACTATGACCTTTTGTCTCTTCCGTCTGCTTACTTGTCTTTAAATAGTTTACTTCTCAGAAATGTTTTTGGCAGAGGAGAATCCCACAGTCCTTCATTCTCAAGGAAGAGCATGGTTGTTGGGAAGCAATTTCTGGGTAAATTGGGCTAAGAAGACAGCTGACTTTGACCAGTGTGACTCATTTGACTATTCACTGTGCTTTCATGCCTACCATTTTTTGTGTTCTCTTTTGTATGGTGGGCTATGGGCACTGGAAATATGAAATGGAAAAAGTACTGGAAATGGAATAATTGAAGGTCACTAGTACCCTATTGCAATGCCTGAGAAATTATTTATTAAGTATTGATTATATTTATTAAGTGCTTGCTATAGTCTAGACACTAACAAAGTGCTGGGTACACAAGAAAAATAAACATGGTTTTTGTTTTATAGAAATCTATGGTTCTGTGAGGAAAACAGATGATTTGGGTTGTTTTCACCTTTTGGTTATTGTGAGTTGTGCTTGTATGAAAATCAGTGAGAACATTTTATACTCATTTGACTGGCAAAACATGAAATAAGTAGACAGCATTAAGAATTGGAAAGACCGCCTTATGGATATAATGGGAACATAAATTTGTTTAACCATATTGGAAAATACCTTGAAATGCCAAGGTTAAATTTCTTGTGAACTTTAACATTTACATTTTTTTAAAAAAGGGATTTCTTTATTTATGTATGTAAGAACTGGGGTACAGGCCAGGGGTACAGGGATTTACCAGAGATAAGAGTGGGGAACAGAACTGGAGGATTGACTGAAATACACTGCTGAGGGGAGCAGCCCGCTAGACAGGAGAGGTCTGCTGCACCATGTGGGTCAGCTCCCTGGCCTGGCATCAAACTGGTGCTGCAGTGGCTGTGGATAGCTTCATAGCTCTGCAACTTAACCCCTTGTGCCACCAGGGAGGCCCTAACATTTACATTTTCTATGATCCAGCAGTATTGCTGCTAGATACATACTTAAGATAATTCAGTATATAATTATCAGGAGATAAATACAAGAAGATTAATAGCTGTACAGTTCCTAAGAACAAAAAACTTTAACGATTTAAATGTGAGTTTATGGGCATTTCTTTCAAGCAGTGCTGTTATAAAAGATAAGAGGGGAGGAAAAAGTTGCATGTTTGTGTGCTGAAGAATTGAGTCCATGGAAACAGGGGAAAATAATTTTAAGAATTGCTGGGAAATCTGATTTTTCAAACACTAGCCTAGATTTGCTGGTTATGGAGGATGTCATATATACCTACTTGTTCAAAGTTTTACTTAACCTTCACCTGCCCTTCTCAAACTGTAGGATCAAATAGCACATCAAACAAATCCCCCAAAGGGGAACTCCTTTGGAGAATTTGATTGATTCACTTTCCATATCACTATAGAAATCAGATTCAACTTACCATATGCCCCATTTATAAATTATCATACATCGAAATGAATCAATTACAGTTATAAGCAAAAATATGCATGAATTTTAGTAACAAATGTTGAGTGAAAGAGGCAAGTCTAAGAATATTAGATGTAGGTTTTTGCTTTTGAATTTTTTATCTATAAGCAAAATTAAACAATATATGACTTATACTATATATGTGGTGACATAAATGCAACAAGACAATGATTACCTCTAGAAGGAAGAAAAGGAGCAAAGGGAGATACGGATCTAAATCTTTGGTAATCTTCTAGTTGAGTGGGTCTCAAACTTTACGGTGTAGCAGGGTCACCTAAAATATTCATTAAAACCTAGATTGCTGGGTCTCACCAAGAATTTGACTCCAATAATAGTACGTGGTTTCAATATGTGTATTTCTAACTAAGTCCCAGGAGTTGCTAGCACTGCTCTCTGGAACCACACAGAGAAGGCCTCCTAGCTTTTAGGTTGGGCTTTGGATTCATAAGTGTTCTATTCTATTATTACTATTTTTTAAAGATTTATTTATTTATGCATACAAGAACTGGAGTACAGGCCAGAGGGTGTGTGTGTGTGTGTGTGTGTGTGTGTGTGTGTGTGTGTGTGTGTATTCACCAGAGACAGCGTGAGGAACAGAACAGGTGGATTTACTGAAATACACTGCTGAGGGGAGCAGGGAGCAAGTCAGGAGCGGTCTGCTGCTCCATGTGGGTCACCTCCCTGGCTGGGGATCGAACTCGTGCTGCAGTGGCTTCATGATGCTGCGTCTTAACCCCTTGCGCCACCAGGGAGGTCCTCCATTTTATTATTAAATGAATAATGTATTTATTAAAAAAAGAGATGGATAGTTACAGGTCAAAGTGTGTCATGAAGGATTAATCTTAATTCTGGGCTCACGAGGCCTCTCCCCCTCACCCCCCAAAGAGTTAAGTTTCCGTTACTAAAAGCAATCTTAGATAAATATTGCTCGAGGAGAACCTCAAGACCGTTCTAAAAAAGAAAATTACTAAAAACTACATTGGAGAAATAAATCTGGAAGACTCATTTTCCCGCGCAGTCGACAACGCAGTCCATGCCGCGTCCACTAGGGGGCGCTGCGGCGACCGGGCCTGTCGGGAGGCGCGTTTCGCGTGGGCGTCGCCTTCAGTCACTGACTGGGGGTTGAGAAAAGCTTGCACAGAAAACTCCCGTCCACAGTCTCTGCGCTCAGGAAGGTCCGGTCTATAACTATAAAATCGCACCCCACAGCACAGCACGCAGGCGGTTACGGAAAGAATGAAGATTTATTGTCCGCTATCGCCGCCGGCACACGGCCGTTGACCTCGCGCGCTTCCACAGGCCGCGGCGGCGGGCCGGGGGCGGCCCGGGGCGGGGCGGGGGGCGGGGCGCGGCGGGCGCCGGCGCGACGCTCGGACCTCATTGGCTGTCCTGCCGGAAGCGGCGCGCGGCCCGGCTGCGCACGCGCCCCTCACACGTGCGTCCACAACGCCCCCTGCGCCCCGCGGGCCAAACCGGCACCATGCTGCGGCTTCCTGCCTTCCGGGTGTTCGGGCGTCCCGGGGCCAGCAAGGCCCCGCTGCTGGAGGACTCCGGCGCCCGCCGCTGCAGTTCGCGCCCCCTCGGCGCTCGCGACGACGCCGGCGACGCGCGCGCTTTCTTCACAACACCCATCTTCTACGTGAACGCGGCGCCGCACATCGGGCACCTGTACTCGGCGCTGCTGGCGGACGCCCTGTGTCGCCACCGTCGCCTCCGCGTCCCCGGCGCCGCGGCCACGCGGTTCTCCACCGGGACCGACGAGCACGGCCTGAAGATCCAGCAGGCGGCCGCCGCCGCGGGCCTGGCCCCGTCGGAGCTGTGCGACCGCGTCTCTGGCCAGTTCCAGCGGCTTTTCCGGGAGGCCGGCATCTCCTCCACCGACTTCATCCGCACCACGGAGGCCCGGCACCGGACGGCCGTGCAGCACTTCTGGGGCGTCCTCAAGGCCCGGGGGCTGCTCTATAAGGGGCTCTATGAAGGTTGGTATTGCGCCTCTGACGAGTGTTTCCTGCCGGAGGCCAAGGTCACCCGGCAGCCGGGCCAGTCGGGGGATTTATGTCCCGTGTCTCTAGAGAGCGGCCATCCTGTGTCCTGGACCAAGGAAGAAAACTACATTTTCAGGCTTTCCCAATTCCGGGACCCGCTCTTGCGGTGGCTGCGGGGCGACCCTCAGACGATCACTCCCGAGCCATTCCATCAGGCGGTCCTTCAGTGGCTGGAGGAGGAGTTGCCCGACCTGTCCGTCTCTCGCAGGAGTAGCCACCTGCACTGGGGCATCCCGGTGCCCGACGACGATTCGCAGACCATCTACGTATGGCTGGATGCCTTGGTCAACTACCTGACTGTAATCGGTTACCCAAATGCTGATTTCACATCTTGGTGGCCGACCACCTCGCATGTTATAGGCAAGGACATTCTCAAATTCCATGCTGTTTATTGGCCTGCCCTCCTTTTAGGGGCCGGCTTGAGCCCACCGCACCGCATCTATGTTCACTCCCACTGGACAGTCTGTGGCCAAAAGATGTCTAAGAGCTTGGGCAACGTGGTAGATCCTAGGAATTGCCTTGACCGCTATACGGTGGATGGCTTCCGATACTTTTTGCTTAGGCAGGGCGTGCCCAACTGGGATTGTGATTACTATGATGAAAAGGTGGTTAAATTGCTAGACTCGGAGCTGGCAGATGCTTTGGGAGGTCTCTTGAACCGATGCACTGCCAGTAGAATAAATCCTTCTGGGATTTACCCAGCCTTCTGCACTAATTGCTTTCCTAGTGAGCCAGGGTTGGTGGGACCGTCAGTTCGTGTTCAAGCAGAGGACTATGCTCTGGTGAAGGCAGTATCCTCTTTGCCCAAGCAGGTAGCCGACTACTATGATAACTTTCAGATCTATAAGGCTCTGGAGGCAGTGTCCAGCTGTGTCCGTCAGACTAATGGCTTTGTCCAAAGGCATGCACCATGGAAGTTGAACTGGGAGAGTCCAGTGGATGCTCCTTGGCTTGGTACTGTGCTCCATGTAGCCTTGGAATGTTTGAGAGTCTTTGGAACTTTGCTTCAGCCTGTCACCCCAAGCCTAGCAGATAAGCTGCTGTCTAGGTTAGGGGTCTCTGCCACAGAGAGGGGCCTGGGAGAACTCTATTTCTTGCCTCGATTCTATGGACATCCATGTCCTTTTGAAGGGAGGAGGCTGGGACCTGAAACTGGGCTCTTGTTTCCAAGACTGGACCAGTCCCGGGCCTGGCTGGTGAAAGCCCATAGGACCTAGAATCTTAGTTCTTACTGACTTGTGGTTAAAAAAAGCAAATGTGTTTTCTTAGTTTGCATTTTCAGGAAAGCTATACTAATGTTTTCTAGATTATTGCATCCAATGAGCACTTAAGCAGTGTCCCTGTGAAATGAGGTTTCTTGTCTTTTCAGGTGCCCACCCCTATTTCTTCAGTTCTCAGTACCCATTAACCATTGTTCTTGTACACCAGTGACTCTTAGGATGTCTCCAGTGCGAAGTTAACAACTTTGCTGATACTATTTCTTCTTATTGTGTCTCCTTCCAAACCACAATTAAGTTATTTGCCCAGATTACCTCTCATGGCTTGTTTTTCATTAGCCCAGCCTCTTCTGGGCAAATGAGCGGGTATTGAAGGCTATTATTACCTCAGGGTAGGCCTACTTTGTTATGAGTTGAGTGTCCTGTTAAAAGGAGACTCTTTTATTAAACTTTAAAAATCAGTGTCCTAGACTAGATGTGTCTTGCCCATTTTTATATTCTAACCACCATAATTAAATCCAATAATTATGCTTTTATAACATTACACTTCAACCAGTAGATGGCGCTACCTTCACACTTGGTATTAACATGATTTTTGAATAGTTTTCTGCTTCTAATTTTGCAGAATTTAAAATAATCTTTATTGCTTTTCTTAAAACAGGATAATAACAACCACTTCTGTTCTACATAAATTTAAAAAAGATCAGAATCCTGTTTTTCCAAGACTACTGAGGAAATTATTAGTAAGTTAGTAAGTAAATATATCAGGTTTGTTTGGACTGTGATATAAAGCTCTGTTGAGGTACTTTGCATATTCAGGATTTTAAACTTTAATAACATTAGGCTACAGGTATGATTTAAAAAATCAGAGAAAAATTCAAAAGGGCAATATTTTATATTTCTTAGTTTTGTTACGCACATACATAATTACCTTGTGAATTTTTTTTGGTCAGTCAGAATCTATACTATACAAATTGTATAAGAGTTATAATAAATGTTAATATGTTTACTTCTAAGTAGTTTTACTGATTTTTTTTTTTTTGCTCTTTTAGGTTATTAAAGTTTAAAAGTTTGTAAGTACCTTATTCAGATCTGTTTTGTTGCATTTGTTGAAGGGGATGATGAAAGGGAGGAAGTGATCAATGCTGTAGGAATCTCAAATTGGATTTAGGAATTGCCAAGGCTTCAGAGGAACATAACGGAGATGTTAAGGGTATCAATTATACAATGATTGCAACGCAGTAAGGCAGTGTTATATCTTTTAGGTGATTGGACAGTTACAGCTAAGTGTAAAATGATACCTTGAAATGCTCATTTTCAGCATGGTAGTGAGATGCTCACTGTGAAAGAAACTATTGTGCTGGTAGTCCCCTAGATATATTCTAGGTACTACTGCTCAGCTCCAGTTTTTTAATTAGCATGCTGAGTGATTTCTGGTTGGTTGGCAAGTGTTTAGAAAAGAATGCATAAGGACATTCTAAAGGTAGAAGGCTTTGTACAAATGTTTGTTCAGGCATTCCTTCATAATGGAATCCTGGACTTTTCATGTAACGTACTTCAATTACCTGTTGGGTGGGCCTCCCCGGTGGCGCACGGTTGAGCGCTGGGTTGTGAAGCTGCCCGCAGCCTCTGCGGCGCCGGTTCTATCCCCGGCTGCTCCCCGGCCACCGGAGGAGGGTCCCACATGGCGCGTAGACCTCTCCTGCCGCCCGCTGCTCCCCTCGGCAGTGTACTTTGGTCCTTCTGCCTGTTCTGCTCCCCGCTCTGGCTCTGGTGAATTCTCTCACCCTCCCGTGCTTCTGACTGTACCCAGTGCATGTATTAAAAAAAACAACGAACGAACAAACAAATAAATAAAAAACATGCCTCTATAAAAAAATAAATAAAAAACAATTACCTGTTGGGACTACAGGGTAGATTACTGTGGTTTAGGATCAAGTGTAGTATCTCTTCTATGTCTGGATAGAACAGAGTGGTGAAAGTGATGGCATGTGTTTGTATAAAGGAGAAGACTTGGCAAATCAAGGAATGATTTACCTTTGAAGTGCCTTTATGCAGTCTTAGAATTGCTATTATGAATGGCCAGTATCTTCTGCTTGAATAACTTTTTTTATGACTTAGTGCTCTTCAATACACTGGACTGTGACTTGCAGGAGAGTATCAGTGAAGTTCTTTTGTGCAGTCTGTCATTTATATTGGTACTTAACTGGTTATTAGAGTATCTTTTACTAGAGTATACAAGAAAATAGGAGAACCAAAGAGAGCATAATTATTACAGAAGACAGGATGTTTTGAGTGAAGGAGTATGTGTGGTAAGCTGTATCTCACTACTGTGGTGATATGGAAAATGAACCAGTTGAATTTTCTGTAGGAGGCACAATAGCTTAAGCAGACAATCTTGGGTGCTCAGTGGGTGTATTTGCCTTGCAAGATCCAGCAGTGTAAGAATAGCAAGTGGCTAATAGGTGAAACTTAAAAGTGGAAAGCGTGTACTTCCAAGAGAGGACATCCTAGCCACTTTAGGAGAAAATGATGATAAACCTATAAACTTCTAAGCAGCTCACTCCCTGCTCCAGAACTGTTATGCATCTTGTGGCTCCATTAACCAGAAAGGCAGATTCTCCCAAACATTAATCTTGGAGACTCTCAAATCTTTGCTTAGGAGGCCTGGAGGGAGTGTTACTGGTGATAGACATGGTCAGGAGTTCATGAGATGTCACTTTAAAATAGTAACTAAAAAGCCGACAACTCAGTCAACCTCGGTCCTATCGATGGAGTCATGTAAAAGTTATGGTCAGTGTATGGGTTGTGGTATCACTGTATATTGGAAGGCTATCCCATAATTGAACTCACAGATCAGGCACCTCAGAAATCAGACCTATGGCTATATGAAAGTCAAGACTAGGCAGGACAATAGACAGAGCTCTTATTTCATTGAAATCTGAGTTATTCTGGAAGTAGGCCTTCTTGTTTTTTTTTTTTTTTTTAATTTAAATAATAAATTTTATTTTTATATTCCCCCATACAATTGCAAACGCCCCATTCTGACCCCAGTCCCTCCCCTCCCACCCCCCACCCCCCAAAAAGTGTCTCTGGTTCATAGTTTTTTGTTGATTTTGATTTTCACTTTCTTATATTCATTTTCCTGGTCCCTTATTTAAGTTTTCTAGATTCCTGCTATGAGTGAGACCATCCGGTATTTTTCTTTTTCTTTTTAGGCCTTCTTGTTTTTTAAGGACCTGTAAGACACTAAGCATTGAGGAGAACCTGATAAATATTAAATATTAAATTGACAGCAAAGTATTCAAAGCCCAGGTTGGAACATGGGCCCTTGAAGCATATGTCTTTTTTTCCCTCCTATAAGTTGTATCTGTGATGAGAACATAACTCTTTAGGTAGGCCAATTTTGGGAACTGAGGTGAAGCCAGTAGTAGTTGGTCAGGTCATGGGTCTCCAACTAGGATGACTTAATCATGAAGTAGCTGGGCAGCAGGTGGCAGTACCAAATGTTCAATGGATTACACCTTGGGCATTGTGGTAGGGATGGCTTCCTGGATCTTGGACTGCCCCACTCTTAGTGAATACATTGCTGGGAGTGTTATCCTACATTACTGTAACATTGTTATGGGGGAGGCCATGCCTTTTGACCAAGACTTGGTCCATAAAGCTGCTGTAGGATAATCAGTTGCTTCCAGGAGGCCATTCCCCCTATCAGCAGTTCAGATATAGAACAATTGTTCTTATTGGGGAGATCTGGTGTTCTGTAAACCCTGATGGATCCTTGCCCTCATCTTTTGACAGAGGTATCAATGGACCTAAAAAAGTGGGTACATTGATAGCCCTACCTATGTCTTTTTTGCAACAAAGGTTTACTAGGAAGAAAGTGGAGGGAGATGGAGTAAGTTTGGGGTAACCAAGAACATGGGCAGTCAGTTCCACAAGAAAGCTTCTAAAGCCCTTGTAAAAGGTAAGACGACATGTAACATGTCATTTTAGCACGGAACAAAACATGACTCTTCGTGTAGGAGCACTGGATAAGATGAAGTTAATATTGCTAGAAGGATTGTAAAGGAAGGATTTTTAACCTCCAAGAAGCCTAAGCTTCCTCCTCTATCATCAGGAAGTACTTTGAGCTAAGGGAAAGGGACTAATTAAGTTTAGAGGTTAAATTGGCTTTTTTTTTTTTTTTTGGTTTTTAGGTAGTCTGTCCTGGGCTACCCAGGATAGAGCCTCTGAATTAATGGAACCATGTAATAACTCAATAGTTGAACATATTTAAAATATCATAAGATTATAACCATATGAATCATTTTCATGATGAGGAAAGGGAGTTGGGAAGAGCTACACAAGTAACTTGGCACTAGCAATTAGCATATATACTCTCTGCTATACCTTTTCTCATGAGTAGCTATCGGGAGGTTCAGCCATATGTGGATCTTCACCTAAGTAAGGTGAGACTATTAATAGAATAGAAGTCCATCCTTGGCTATGAATGAAATTTATCCCCATATAGTTTATGGCACAGTTACTACAGACTTTAAAGTCCACAGCTCTTCATTTAAGAACAGGATAGTACGAGATCTTAGGATGTTTCAAGGGACCAAATGTGCCATCTGCAAGAAAATTTTAAGAGAGATGATCCCTGCCTTGAAGTCTACAGATTTTTAAACGAAGTATCTGAAGAGGGCCTAGAAAACTCACTGAGTAAACAGGAGGGACAGCTCCTGGAACAACTAAGAAATGGATGATGCCACCTTTCTTAGTGCATGGTGTGGGGAAAATGGCACTGCCTTCCCCAAGCTACTATTCCTAAGATCGTGCCTTATGCATGTACCCCTCATTAGCTGACAGATCACTGCTTTGTGGGATTTAACATGAAGATGAAACTTCAAAAACTAGCTTACGATGGACTAATACAGATTGCAGTAATTGTTCTTTTAATTCATTATTCAATAATAATAATTATGCATTTTACCCTGATTAAAATACTTTAAAAAAGTAAGCTTTAGTTTGGAACACATTACGTAAGGTAATTTCTGTAGTTTGCCATCCTTTGAATTAGTCTATTAGAATCTATTGGTTAAAAGCTATAAATATTACAAATATAAAATTTCCAGCATGTTATGCATTTTAGGTTAATCACTAAAATAATACAGAAAGAATATTTTTTTTCAATCCAATGAAAAGAAATTCAACAGAAGACAGAAGGAAGAAAAAAAAGGCAAAAATATAATAAAGCCCATAACATGATGGTTGAAATACAAATATATCAGTGATTGTAAAAAAAAAAAAACTAATATGTTCAATGTTCTGCTAAAATAAACAGCAGTGTTCAGGATTTAAATTTTAAAAAGTTTTAAAAAAGTTAGCTATGTGAATTTTGAATTCTCACCAGCATAGCTGAGTTCCATTTGCTCTACTATTTACCTGCATTTGGTAATTTTTAGTATTTTCTATTTTAACTGTTTTCATAGGTATGTAGTAATACATTACTTTTAAATTTAAAAAGGGAAAAGAATTAAACAGCATTGGCAAGTGTAAGGCAAGTTATCTCCTAAAGTGCTAGTAGGTAGAAATGTAAATAAGAATGGTTTTGGAAAATTCAATTTATATTAAATATTTCTTGAACACTTAAAAAAAAAAAGGTTAGCTATGTGTAGTTAAATGTATGTTTAAGTACGTAGGTAAACATAACAAACTAAATAGTGATCATACATTAACCAAAAGAAACCATAGTAATATTAATAGGCAATTCATATTGAGGGGGGAAGTAATTATTAAAATTAAGTGAGACTATAAAAAGGAATAATGTCCCAAGTAATATTTATAAACTTGTATGAATTAGCAACATAGCCTCAAAATATACAGAGCTCAAACTGAAAATTGTAAGAAATTTTTTTTTAAAAATGAAAATAATATTCCTCAGTTCAGAGACGATACAATGAAAAAGTAAAAATAGCACTTCAGTCTTTAATGCTTACCACTGAGGGTCTCTGCGAATTATTTAAAAGGGGAGAATTCCATGGCCACAATTTTGCAAAATTTTCTAATTGTTATTTCAGTAATAAGTGAAGGGGAAGGGAAATCCAATAGTTGTGTTCCTTATTTTTGTCATCTCATTTCCTTTTCCCATCAACTTTGCTAAGTATTCTTTCTCTGTTTAACTTGAGAAATTGAGGCACAGAGATCAAATAACTTGGCTTAAGGTTATATACACAATTTGTAAAACAGGAGAGACAACTCAAACTTGTCTTGATGTCAGAGTCACTACCACACTTAGCACCAACACCAGATCAATCACTGAGGACAGTGTGGGAAAAAAGAAGGTCTAATCAGATCCAAAGATCTGTAGATGGTAAGTCCAAGAAGGAATCCTTAATTGGAGTACATTAATAAGTGTTTCAAAATAAGGGAATTAGGTTTTTTTTTTAAAGATTTCCTGATTTTTTTTTTTTTTTAAGATTTATTTATTTATACAAGCACTGGGTACAGTCAGAAGCATGGGAGGAAGAGAGAATTCACCAAAGCCAGAGCCTGGAACAGAACAGGCTGACCGGCAAAGTACACTGCAGAGGGAAAGCAGTGGGCGGCAGTAGAGATCTGCGTGCCATGTGGGACCCTTGCCTGGTGGCTGGGGATTGACCCAGCACTGCAGAGGCTGCAGGCAGCTTCACAACCCAGCGCTCAACTGCTGCGCCACCAGGGAGGCCCAGGGAATTAGTTTTTGATAGCTATATAATTAAACAGATGAGTAGCAAGACAGAAATTTAGAAAATCATACTTACCTTTATCACAAAATACATTATTTCTTTTTGCTTTCCATCGTTTGCTTTATAGCCTAAACCTGCTTATTGTGTGCTGGTGTAAAGTATTAAAACTGCTAATAAAAGTATATTCTTTATATTCCTTTCTCCTTAATGTTATTTTGTTTATTTTCAGAGGTGTTCCAAATCCTTGAATTCAAAAGTTCTCTATGTTGTCATAAATTCATGTATCCGAGTATTTTGAAATAACATTTTACTAACTGATGCTTTAAATACGCATTTTCTCTAATCATGAACAGTTTTATTTGAATTATTATAGTAACAGCCAGAGAATTTTATTAGAGGTCACAAGCACTGAAACTTTCATTTTGTACATACAGTTTTAATACAAATGAAATTGAGACTCATCTATTTACTAACAAAGTTCTATGAATTTACTGAACATTTATTACTGTATTCTTATAGCTTTCCTTACAAACCTGCTGAAACCAGATTAAATGCTCTTTTGACTCCAGTTATTACCAAATCAAATACCACCCTGTCAGTTAAAATGCCACATATTGGATAATTCCTAGTAATTATTTCTCACAGGACAGTCAAAACTTGTTTTAACTGTGACAGTCAAAACATGTTCTAACTTCCCCAAATTAGAGATTTTACTATGAATCACATAGTCAATGTCCTATTTTAGATTTTTAATGAACTATAGCTATTATGTTGGACATGGTCTACACCTTGAAGAAGTGTGCTTGAACATAGGCTTTATATATCTCTTAGCAATCATCTAAATTATATTTTTAAAAAAGGTATCAAAAGGTATTAAAGTTCTTGTTGACATGAAAGACCAAGAAGACCTATGTTTTTATTTCATACTTTAAATATTTTAGAAGTCTCTTTAAATTTGAGTTGCAAATAGCTAGCAAGGTATGATGGGTACTTTTCAGTATTTTTGGAATAGTAAATTATAACTTGCTGATAGAATTAGACTGATGCATTATAAAAAATACCCTATAAACATTTAAAATATTACCTTTAAAAATCACTTACTGAAAGAATTTGTAAAAGCTTTCAAAAAGCAAAGAATCTTCAATTCAGGTAAATTTATTACATTAACTTTCTATAAAACTTATTTTATGGAAAGCTCCCTACATTTTTTCAAAGCATAACTTCTTAGTCCTGAGTTCAGTTTCATTTTATAACTCACACTGGAATGTAATTAAATAAATCAAGTGATAATGAGGAAGAAGCCTATTTTAGTATTATAGGAAAAACTTTACTAAGGTAACTGGAAATATGTATGGTTAACTGCATGAAATGTGATGTTGAATTTTCATGCCATTTTAAGATTTTTGAAAGGATTTTTTGCTGAATATAGAGGAAATGTTATTAACATTCATTATGATTGTCTGATATACAAAAAGTTGTAAATCCTCAAAGTAGAAAGTTTTTTCTTACTAAAATTTTGTCCACATAAAAATCAGCATCTAGAAGGTAATTAATTCAAAACAATTTTTAAATAAAACATTCTTGGATGTAGGTGATGTCATAAAATTCGTTTTCTAGCCTAAGGGAGAGTATATGTCACTTCCCTTCCTTTTTCCATAATCCATGGTGACTGTCTAAAATGGTGGGGCTATCACCTCTAGGGCATAAAAATAATATATAACTATAGCTAAGTGTAAAGATTAGGAAATTAACCAGATGTTAGAGAAAAAAATAGTTACAACTTACTGCTTAACATTGAGAGTAGGGAGAAGAGGAATAGCTAAGTACAATGATGTTATCAAAAGATGTTCAGATAGTCAATAGGTGAAGGTAGTTAAATCTGACCTCAAGTGTTTTTAAAATAAGCCATTCTCTAAAGAGACGTATCGAGGGCACAGGCATAAGAATCTATTTGATAAAGAGGATTTTTGTTGAGTTTATTTCATTTTCCCTTTGGTATAGATATTAGGGTAGTAAATGCATTACTTTAATTGAAAGCTATTCTCATATGTAGTTGGAGATAGTCTGAATAAAATAAACCTGAAGTTAACTTTGCTAGTCAGTATTTGGGTATTTAAGATAGGGCAGGAAAAATTTACATGTATTAGTATCTTTTGAAAATATTTTCATAATAGGTCAAACACTAGTAAATATTTTTGGAAGTTGATGTGTTGTAAAAATGTATTCAGTGGATATTGTATAGCTTTCTTTGATACCAAAGTTAGACATGTTAAAAACAAATATTCTAAATATGATTAGCAAGAAACACATTGGAAGTATTAAAAATCATCTCATTTTAATGTATGGTTTAAAATTATTATTCTTTAGATGTTTTTTCCAAAACCACAAAGAAAAAAAAGATATGCTTTTTAAAAAATCATTACACATTTTCTTTTTCTTTGATTGGTTGCTTGAGAACTGTGTGAGGCTAAGACTATTTATTATTAAATATTAACTTGCAAAAAGGACCTTAATAGTTAAAGACTACAATGATCTTTTATACTTATTAAAGCTGTTTTTGCTATCATGGATATGTCGCATCAATCTATAAAATAAGAACAAAATATCACAACTTAAGCAGAACAGGTTTTTTTGTACATCAGTGAATTTTCATGCCATCTCCATTTTTCTTTACTTTTTGTCTGGAGAAAAAAAAATGAAAAACACTTAAACTGTAAATTGTTTTGGAGCTAAATGGAATTACTTTTGGACTTCTGAAAATCTGTAAAAGTTTTAGAACAAAAATGTGTTGGTATATACTGAATAAGCCTGACTAATAAATACAGCATTAAAATGTATACTGAAAACATCAGACAAGCAGATTATTTAAATAGATTGTTTCATGATATTTTTGACTAGCCTTCTAATTACAGAATACTGGACATTAACACACAGCTTGTTATATTCAAAATAAATGTAGCAAAATAAAATATTCTCAATAGATGAAGTGGCCTTAGGATGTGCTAGAATATTCTGTACTATGACTATGCTATTACATTTTTTCCCTCAATCTAAATATTTTAGCCTGAAAATATGGTGATATAGCCAATAAATATATACATAAGTGGATAATTCATTATCCTTTATGGGACGGGATAAAAAATTAATTTAAATTGTAATAGGGTGATCATCTTCCTAATACAAGGCTTTGATATATAATTCTTATTTTTCAACAGAAGTACAAACTAACTTTGGTTTATGGAATATTCATGAAATTAAAATTCATGAATTAAAATTAATTCACAAATTAAAATTTGTGCTAGAATTGCACAAATTTCTATAAATGCTAGAATAAAGTTCCTTTTAGTCAGTTTAAATATTGGTATTTATATACTGTATTTTCACTTCTATTATTAATCCAATCTACTATAAAAGGAATATAACATTTTTATAGAAGAAAGTTGGAATATATATTAACAGGAAGGATTTAAAGTTAGCATGACCATTTTTTAATTTTGAAAAATAGTATGGCAGTTTTTAATTATAAAATAATTTTTGTAAGAGTAGATAATCATAGCGTCTCTATATTAAAGATAAAATATGTTATAGGTAAGTTTTATTCAGTCAAGATTAATGTTTTGAAAACCTAGCAACTTGACAAAATAAGACCTAAATGAAAGATAAAAAGGGGTATTAGTAAGTGTTGCTGTGTTAAAGGAAGAAACCTGTATTGAATCTGACATGATATGCAGTAAATGCTTATAAGAGCCCTAATATTTCATGTATGAATGACAGGGCCAGAAATAGATTTGGAGATACCTTTAAGTATATTTAAGAATGGTGTCAACTTTAAACATAGTAGTTGGCATAAAATAAATAGTTGATTGTGATACAACATTTTTTATGTTTTATATAAACAATTTTTATATGTATTAATATCTACCAAAATTTCTAATGTAAACCTGGAGTTTGAAATATCTTATCAAAAACATTAATACAAGCAAAATATATACAAACCTAAATCCACTGAAAACAAAATAATGTGGAAGTTAGAATTTTCTACACTAAAACAGTAGTGTAGAAACAGTATTTTTCTCCCTAAAACAGTATTTTTAGGAATTTATTGTAAACAGTCTGTTGTGTATATTCTGTATATGCCATGGCTGTCTATAAATATGACACACCTGAAATCAAACTGGAAAACCCAAATATCAAAGATGTTTTTAAGTGGCTGGATATGACATTGTCATATTGATAAGATATCCAGATGATGACCAAAATTTTAAAACTTTATCAAGATATTGGTTGTTTTATAAATATTACCTATGTTCTATTTGTTACACACTATAAGTCTATGTTACTTAAGTGTGTGTGAGTAAAGGAAACCATGCTTTTATCCTGCATCTCCGATGTTCTGGCTGTTAAGACTTTTTTAATTTCCTTAAAAGGCAAAAACATTTAATTGTAAGCACATCCAACACCCTCATATTTGTTATCAGACCACACATGGCCTAGTTTTCTATTATTGGATAAAATAGTTTTCTAAAACTCTACTTAACAGAATCAGTAGAGGAAGGTAGAGTAAGAATTGAATCCTCTGCTCTGAAATCTTTCCTAGGATGAAAAGTGTGGACTTCGAGAATATCGAGGTTTCAAACCTATAGATGACGGTTGAGAAAAGCCTCTTCTCACAGAATGTAACCTTGGTTCCTATTAAGAGATTTAAAGAAAATTAGGGTTTTAATGCACTTTAAATGGCTCTTATAATTACTTAAGGGAAAGATTTTAAAAATAAGATTAACTCGGTCTGGATTCTGAGAAGGTGTGCTTTGGGAAATTCTCATTAGAAAGAGTAGGTTATTATATAACCTGTTTCCACATAGATACCAAAATTAGAGTTAGGTCCTGTGACTGAGGAAGCAACTACCCAGAGAAAATAAGTGAATTATTAATAGATTTTCATATTAATAGAGTAACATTTTATCCTACTGTTAAGCATCTGGTATACAGACTGTTCAATAAATGATTTTATTTGATCCTTTGCCAAACATCGCATTGTTAGAGATACTGTTTTGCTCAAGATACTTGAAAACAGGAAAATTGAAGCTAAGGTATCAATAATGACTACTTATCTACTTCAGAAATTAGTGTTTAGCTAAATCCTTCTTTTCCTGAAAATCTCATCATTTGCTCTACCTGCTTTTTTTTTTTTTTTTTTTAAGATTTATTTATGTATACAAGAGCTGGGGTTACAGGCCAGAGTTGCGGGGAGGGGTGTGTGTGTGAGAGGATTCACCAGAGACAGAGTGGGGAACAGAACAGGCAGACTGACTGAAATACACTGCTGAGGGGAGCAGTGGGTGAGATAGGAGAGATAGGAATGGTCTGCCTTGCCATCTGGGTTGCTCCCTGGCCAGCCTGGGATCAAACTCATGCTGCAGAGGCTGTGGATTGCTTCATAGTGTGATGCTTAACCCCTTGTGCCACCAAGGAGGCCCTGCTCTACCTGCTTTAAATTATTTGAGTTTGAAGTCGTGAAGATATGCAAGCATCAAGTAGCCTGAGTTTATCTTACAAAGCTAAATTAAACTTTGGAAGTAGCACTTAAGCCAAATCAATTACCCATCCTGAATATGACAACAGAAATGTAACACCAGGTATCTTAGTAGTTCTTCTGAAAACTAGCAACTTAAAAATAGTTAAAGGAAATGAACTAAAAACTTGTAAGATATAAAGCAAAATATTCTGAGGAGGATGGTTGTTCATATACTGTTACATTTTTCATAATTTGGGCTATATGCCACTTTCTTGACTACCAAGACTTTGATCATGTCTACTAACAATGAAACAACTTGCAAGTGTGAGAAAAGGCAACCATCAGCGTTAAGTCTTAGGAAAAATGAGTAATTTTTTCTTTGGCATATCAGACCTAGAGGCCTATAGGATTAAAAATGTGTTATTACAGAGAATAATTCACCTTACTTCAAGATACTTTATGAAGTTATAAAATAGTCTTCTAATTAGAAAAGAACTATTTATGAAGTACTGTAAAATAATTTAAAGGTATTGAAATCAGTGTGAAAAAATTGACTTCAATGACATGAGACTATATAGTACCTTTTGAGGTAAGGAGATTTCACTAGGCAATTATGATAATGATTCACTAATCTTGGAGCCACGCACATTTATATCAGTTTAAAAAGTGGCAAGACTCTAGTACTTGTCATTAGGATATAAGAAAAGAACTAGAGTAAACCTTTCCCTAAATAACAAACACTACATGGAGTGTCCACATAAAGATTGATAAATGTCTATATTGTAGTTATTCACAACAAAAGTAGAAAGATGAAAAACAACTGAATGTTCGTTTGTTTTTATTGGCGAACTTCATGCTCTCAAAAACATGGGGAAATGTGCATGGTCACAATATATAATGAGTAGATGCCATACCCTTTAGATATCTTTTTCTACAGAGGGATTAAAGTTATTCTGGGATAATTTAGAGGGGTTTTCTTCTCACCTGGTGTTCTTAAACTTCCTTGAATGCTGACTTATATAATACTTTAAAAGGAAATTTTTGATTAACAATCTAAAAATTGAGTTCTAGGGTACTTCTGTTTGCACTATTTTAGTTTAGGAAACTGGTTAATTCTCAGTTCACCTGGTAAAAGCATGATTAAACAGTTAATCACATTTATTTTAGAATTGAAATGTTTTTCTGATCCAGACTCCCAGATACTGGATTGAAACAGACACTGTGAGTCAAAAATTTAATTTATATGAGATTTAATTTTAGTGATTCAATGAAAGTTGGTTTGTAACTCTTGGATGGGACTAAAATTACTTCTTAAAAGAACTGTATTCTCCAAGGATCTTATACTGTCATTTCTCCACCTCCTTCCTATAAAAGCATTTGCTTCTTTGCAGATGACAATTTATTAGTAATCATAGGTTTTGGGTTCTAGTACTAAATAGTAATGTCATTTGGGCCATTCTCTTAACCTTTCTAAGCCTCACTTCTCTTATAAAAAGTTGCCCGATTAGTTCACAAAAACATTGAGTGGAAAACAAAAAAATGAGGCAATGTATTTGAAGTGCTCATTAATTTAAGGTATTATTCTTACACTTGAAAATATAGTAAGCAAAAACATGATATTATAAGTATGATTTTATAGATTACCATCAACAACAAAGTTAATACTATTTTTGTAAGGAATTATTATCATGGACTTTAAATAATCTGCAGTGACGTACCAAATTTTTCTTTAGAATGGCCTAGTAATTATACAGCAAATTTAGTTACAAATGTTAAGTTACTAATATTTTCAGACTAATATCTTTAAACTTGTTGATGCTATAGTCCTTAAGTCACATGAATCTTATGATTTCATGACTATAACATAGGGGAACAGGCTTATACCTAGACATAATTCAATTTATTTAAATGGTTTTTATCAAGGTCTGAATCAAAGCTTCAGGATTAAAATAACAGAGGAATTCAGGTCTATTTTGCATGAATCAATCCCTTTGATACTATACTCTTTGATTCCAGTTTAATGTTACCACATTCATTTTGCAATATATCAGTAGTTTCATCTACATTGCAGTCTTCTTGAAACAGTCTAGGTTTGTGCCTAATAAAATTTCATTTTTGAAAAATAATCTTTGAATAGCACTATGTTGGTCAATAAGTATGTATTTCAAAAATTATATTTTAATTATTTTTGGTATACCTTTCACCTTACATGTCTTGTTTTGAATGATAAATATATCACTTCTGCATTTAGTAAGAAGTTGCAGCACATATCAGTAAAGAACTTTCTGACTACTATGAAAAGTGAAAAATATCAGAGGAACTTGTCCATAAGTAAAATATCCTGCATTTTTATAAAGATAATCAAGTCAAGTCTTTCTGTTGTTCAATGAAGGTAGGAGTGAGATTCAAGAGGAAATGTATGCTGGAAAACAAGAACTTCTAAATCTGAATCCATGTAATCATATATTTCAGAGAAGGTTAAGCTATAATTCATACTGGAATTCGGTAAGTCTCTGAGAATGTAATTATCTCAGAAAAGATGTTACATTCTTATCCATGACCCTCTTGAGACTGACACTAATTACAAGCTTGTCTTACTAAAATAGAACAAATGGTACTTTATTAATTTTTAAACCTTTTGTTTAAAAAGATTTATTTATTTACTTATGCATACAAGAACTGGGGTCTAGGCCAAAGGAGTGGGGAATGAGAGGACTTACCAGAGACAGAATGGGGAGCAGAACAGGTAGATCCACTGAAACACAGAGCTGAGTGGAGCAGCAGCAAGACAGGAGGCAAGAGGAGAGGTATGCTGTGCTTAGTTGCCTAGCCAGGATGGAAATCAGGTCACAGTGGCTGGTGATAGCTTGATAGCGCTGAGACTTAACCCCTGTGCCACCAGAGAGGCCCCAAATAGTACTTTATTAAGAACAGAAACAAGATTCTTTTGAAAATGTATGACCTAAGATTTAATGATGCCAATGAGAACTATATTATTGATTACTTTTACTTACAGATGTTTAAGATGCTTTTTTTTTTTTTTTAAATTTATTTATTTGGGCCTTCCTGGTGGTGCAGCAGTTGAGCGCTGGGCTGCGAAGCTACCCACAGCCTCTGCAGCACCGTTTCGATCCCTGGCCACCAGCGAGGGTCCCACATGGTGCAGCAGACCTCTCCTGCTGTGCCCGCTTCACCTCTCAGCAGTGTACTTGGTCAGTCTGCCTGCTCTGTTCCCCACTCTGGCTCTGGTGAATCCTCTCACTCCCTGCAACTCTGGCCTATACCCCAGTGCTGTATGCATAAATAAATTTTTTTAAAAGATTTATTTACCCACCCATACAAGCACTGGGTACAGTCAGAAGTGCGGGAGGGTGAGAGAATTCACCAGAGCCAGAGCGGGGAGCAGAACAGGCAGACTGACCGAAGTACACTGGTGAGGGGAGCAGCGGGTGGGTCAGGAGAGGTCTGCTGTCCATGTGGGTTGCTCCCTGGCTGGCCGGGAATCGAACTCATGCTGCAGTGGCTGCAGACAGCTTCATAGGTTGCATCTTAACCCTTGCGCCACCAGGGAGGCCCCTAAGACGCTTACTTTTAGGTATAGATGTTTAAGATGTTTGATTTGAGGGATGTTTAATAAAGAAAGCAAACTAAGTGGGTGATTCATAAGAAGTGATGATATTTAGAATGAATTTTGGATATTTTCTCAAATATTTAGAGGATAATAAGGAAAGCTGAATTTTCTGTAGTGTGTGTATAAAGTTTAAGCAAAGGTTATGATGACTTAGGAAGTATTTTCAAGTAGCAAATGAGTAGATTAAATGAGTCATACAATGTTAAATTTATAGTCTAAACCAGAATTTTTAAAAGAATTTTTAATTTAAAAAATGCAGATTTGCTGAAGTGTAATACAAAATGTCCATATTTCATTACTATCTAGGGTTGAACTGTGAAATCCTTTGAGGAAATGGGATAACCTTTTGAAATCAAGAATAAGACATAGACATATATAAAACCATGTGTATTAACTAACATTCTTTCTAGTTTCATCTGCCCTTTAGGAATTAGATACAAAGGTAACTCTGCTTAATTAAAAAATTGCTTTTTATAGTATTTATAATATAGAAAGCAAAAGAAATTGAGTATTAAAATGTAACATTCTAAGTTCAAACAAAAG